CACTCCTAGTCTTCCTAGAAACCCGCCATTTTCTTACAAGCTATTGTACTAACGATCCTTTATTGTCACTGCAAATATTCATTCTTTACTTGACATTATTCAAAACCGCGTACTGCAAAAGACTCGTTAAATTATTAACAAAATTATTAACAAAATTCACTCGTAATAAGTGAACAATATTTTGTTATATTATTTATATATTTTTCATTTCTCCATTGCTTACTTCTTTTACCTATATTACGTGACAAAATATATAATATATATAAAAATATAATATATATAATTACGTGACAGTGATTATTAATTATTAATTGGTCTATGTTATATACACTAATATATTTTATTTCGGTATATTTAAGTTTTCAGTTTTAAATAAATTATAAATTTATTTCAGCTACAAATTTAATCCAATTTTTCAACTTTTATCATTTTGTCGATGTCATTACATTATCTTTTATCTTTATCTTCATTAGGTCGCGATATAAATTATCGCAATTCAGAATATGCCATAAATTCGCTTCTTTTAAATTTTTCATTTAGCCCACTATTATTCTATTCCTGAAATATCCACAAGCTGCAACGTAACCATAATTTTTATCATTGTATCAACATATATCTTCCATTTATCCTATTTCCGAACTGTAAAAACTGCGAGCCATAAAAATGGCGGGAAATATTCCTCGGTTGTTTTTCATTCTTGAAAAGCTGCAATGAAACGAAATTGCACGTATCATAAAAATGTAACGAGATAGTCGGAACGAAACTCAACGTCGCGGATAAGCCCTTGTTATCGCGATTCACTGTCCTTCCCATCCGAAATTCGAGATCTTCATTTCCCGTCGTCCCAATTTGCCGACGGATCAAACAATTGAAGTTACCAGAGAGAAATCCTTCGGGGACGAAAAAACAAAGCGTCCTACGAGGTCGCAGGAAGGCCGAAGGAAGCTTTCGAGCTTTCCTCGTTGAAAGCCTCTTCCCGAGACAATGGCCTTAACAGCTGTAAGCAGAAGGTACCGATAATCAGCGGCGTCTTCGGCGGAAGCAAGACGAATGCATAATGAGCTCACGCATTCAGTCACGTTTTACCGTCCTCCTCTTCTTCTTCTGCTCCTTCCACTCCCGCCCCATCATCCCATCGGCGGAATTTGAATTTCTAATGACGTACGAGCTTGGAGAGGATTATCCGCGACAAATGACGCCTCCTCCGCTTCTGCCAGCGTGTGCGTGCCGTCCTCGCGACGAATTAAACTGGATAAAGGTAAATATTCTAACTCATCAGGTGCTCGTGATTCGATCCGCGATACATCTTTGTGGAAATTTCTTTTCTAGGCAGCAATGATCAGATATTTCGTTTGATACTTCGAATTAAGGGTGGATGATGGAATTTTAGAGTATTTCGTTATTTTAAAAATTTTTGTATATTTTTAATGTGTTATTTGAGTAATGATAATAGGATTTCGTGCCATATCTTCCTGAAATTTCGTTTCTGGAAAGCAGTGATCAGATATTTCGTTTGATACTTCGAATTAAGGGTGGATGATGGAATTTTAGAGTATTTCGCTATTTTGAAAATTTTTGTATATTTTTAATCTGTTATTTGAGTAATGATAATAGGATTTCGTACCATGTCTTCGTGAAATTTCGTTTCTGGGAAATAGTGATCAGATATTTCGTTTGATACTTCGAATTAAGGGTGGATGATGGAATTTTAGAGTATTTCGTTATTTTGAAAATTTTTGTATATTTTTAATGTGTTATTTGAGTAATGATAATAGGATTTCGTACCATATCTTCGTGAAATTTCATTTCTGGGAAGCAGTGATCAGATATTTCGTTTGATACTTCGAATTAAGGGTAGATGATGGAATTTTAGAGTATTTCGTTATTTTAAAAATTTTTGTATATTTTTAATGTGTTATTTGAGTAATGATAATAGGATTTCGTACCATATTATCGTAGAAATTTCGTTTCTGGGAAGCAGTGATGAGATGATCGAATGAATACTTTGAATTAAGGGTGGAATATTGGAGATGTGCAATATTTTGACAATTTGCTATTAATTTTTATTATCAACCTCGCGCATCGCTTTCACAATTACCATTACCAATCGAGAATTATGTGAGACCTCAAAAATGAAAGAAATTTGTATTCTTAAAGAACACGGATTCCAAACGGATTCCAAAATTAATAGAAAATTTATTGCAACGTTAAAATTAAAATTATTTAACTTACGAAAGACATCAGATAAGAAAAAAATAACATAAGCAACCAAGGATATATAATTAACTTTTAGTATTTACGTGAAACTCGAATTCACCAAAAATATCGATTTTATTCCCGCATTCGATATACCCCTCTCTAATGAACCATTCCACGTTCACCCACACAAAATAACTATACCTTAGCTAATTAAAATCAAATAACTTTACAATGCACAGTTTCTCGTAATTAAATCATATTCCAAGGGGTTCACACTCCCCCACAGGAACAAACACAGGAAAATATTAATAAAATCCAAACATAAAGCCTCCATCGATGTACCTTTTTAATATCGCCCCCATCGAATAACAAACGTTAACGAACATTCTCTCGTATTTGCTTTCTTCCTTCGTGGCGCATTCGTCCACAGCACGTGTAAACATTATTCGCACCCACGCGACAGTTATAAAACGGAATATTATCGAATGGAAAGCTGCAGCGCGGTAAATGGGCCGTGTAATGCGGGCCACGTGTGCTAAAAACCCCCGGTAACAGGTATACCTTTTGAAACATTGACACGCAATTAAGGCAGCCGGGCGAGGTACAATAGAGAGGTCGGAAATAAAAGAGTCATTCCGCCGCATGGAACGATCGCGGAGTACGGGAAATTAATTTCCAGCCGGAGGATCCAGGGTAAAAGTAACCGCGTGTGTGCAAAGGGTGAATATACCGAGCTCATGGAAGCCGAGTGGAGGGTTGAGAATGAAAAATATGTCGGCGTATGGGTGGCCCCTCGACTACTCGCAACCCGCTTTACGCCCAAGTATGCCGCCATGCACGCCTGTGATAGGCAACCGGACCTGACACTCACGCGCCCCATGGAAATACAAACGTCAATTACTACTGACGTTGCAAAAAGTTTTTGGCCAGACTTAATTATTTTTCTCGAGAAGATAAATCGACGTTTAAATGAAGAAAATACTATATCGCTATACTCATAATTGCACGTAGTTTTATCGTATTTAATATGTACTTATTTATGTAGTATTTGGTATATATTTATATAGTATTTGGTAATTATTTTCTATCTTCTTTCTTCTCTGCCCATCCTTGGACATTTTTCTTATATTCATTTATTTAATTAGGATATCATTATTATATACATCCTAATTTTTTCTATTCTTTGGAGTTATAAATGAACCAAAATTATTATCTGTATATATATAATGTTTAGGTGCAAATTGTATATCGGTAATTCTAGTGCAAAAGTTATATTACAGCATAAGTCGCGATAATATAATTACATTTACTCGAATCTATGAAAAGTTAATTAATAAATTCTATTACACTTCTATGTTATTACTTATTACAATTGCATGTTTATTTCTGTAAAAACATTTTGAGAAAAGTATACTTGTAATGCAATATCACGTATGTACTTTCCTCGTATTTTCCAGAGAAAAGGATTCGCGGAACCACCGTAATTATGCTAATATAACACGAATATTTTACGTTCCTCGTGAATAACTGTAAATAAATTCTTAATTTAAATAAACCTACGCGAAAACGCTGTTTATGCACAGATGAAGCAACGAATTATTTCGGGCAACTTCATCTACAAATTTTTACAAGACACGGGAACATTTCGTAAAATTTCAAATAAAATTTATATAAATCCCCAGGCTCGCGAGCTGGCGGCTATTTACATTACGAGAGCCGGGGGTATAACCGGGAAAATGTTGCGAGAAGAGGAGGCTTCCGTTTCAGTGACGGGGATATTTTTTTACCGGGCTCGAGGGAATAAAATTTATTTCGTTAGGAAGAAAAGGGAGGAGGCGGGTGTTTTAAAGCTTGCATGAAATTCAAATCCGTGCTCGCGATTCGGCTTTCCACTTTTTATTACGCGCGTATCTCCGCTGCGATTCCAAAATCCACGCTCAACATCCGCCATTTTGGGACCCTCCGCGAGGAAATGGACGACAGTGAGCTTTAAATCCCGCGTCTCGGATGTTGCGAGAGAAGATAAACTTTTTTCCCTGCCAGACATCGTGAAGAATCTCAAATTATCCGCGATGTTGCTTTTATTATACCGGGTGTCCCAATGACAATAGTACAATCGACATGTGAGTGATTCTACATGAAAAAATAAATTGAAAAAGAACAACATTATTTTTTTAGAAGCTTCGTTGTCGAGAAAATCGACTTCGAATATCCAAGTACACTGTTATACTCATGATTCATCCGCCATAGCTGAAATTAAGTGCACACGTGATCAAATTCAAAGTCGATTTTCTCGACAACGAAGCTTCGAATGAAAAATTTTTATTCTTCATTTTCGATTTGCTTTTTCACGTAGAATCATCCACTTGTACTGGTTGTACCGGTTGCACTATCGTTGCTGCTGGGACACCCTGTATATTTCGGGAAAGGTCAGACCTTTCAAACTTTAATTGAATATTGATTCGATGTAAGTAATTTCTCTGTTTATCTTCGTGAGCGAAAACTTCGTTGAATATTCAATTCTTGTCATTCGTTAACTTTTTCTTCTGTTCCCAGAATTTTTTTTTAATTTTATATTTCTATAATGATAATCATTAGACACGTAAATTTCGCATAACTACAGTTCGTCTAAGTACTTTCCATTTCTCTACGTTTCCCCGTCACGATTATCGATGCAGTCACAGCTGACCGATAAGCTACTGGCACGTGACTGGGATCGAGATCTGGATCACTCGGTCGGTAATGTCGCGTGCGAGATTCGAGGTCACGTAGCCGCAAGTGAAAGCCACGAGTCTCCGGAATCTCTGGCGATCGAGACGCAGTATGCGTCCACGTCGATCTCAGTCGTGATCGTGCTACATGGATCTTTCCTCCGAATCACGTATGTATCGATCATCTCGTAAAAATCAAATCCCCCCTCCTCAAAAAAAAAGAAAAAAAAAAGAAATACAACGAAACATATCGATATCTTTCACGAAGTATTTCTCAAAAATTTCCATTACAGGATATTATCAATCTCGTGTCTGTGATGGAGAAAGAAATTTTTTAAAGAGAGTGTACTTATTTATTTATCCACAGTTCGATAGGTCCATGAGTGCTAGTGTAATCGAATTCTCGATTTCGTATCAATAAATGTGACGTAGCAATGGAGACGTGACGTGGATTATCGGATTCCATTATATTACAGAATATTAATTAATATTGTTCGTGGTTTAAGAACGACTGTCGTTGTGTATGTAACGGGTTAATTAATTCCAACGGATGAGCAAGTATTTAGGAAACCATTCGCTGTCGTTTTGGTAATATTGGCTACTGTGAGAGTGATAACGTCTCTGTGCCAGGGGCCAAAGAGATACTCGACATATCTCGTGAAAGTTTCTCCGTTATGCGTGAACTGACTATTTGACTAATTGGAAAGGGGGTAATTTAATTAGAATTTTTATTTTTAATTTTGGCCTAAGGTATAATTTCTGGGTATGGTTGCTGCTTTCGTCATTGATATGTCACGTGCCACGCGTGTATTTACGTGTTTTGTATCGTATGTGTTTTGTCCAAATAACCATTTTTTAATTTTTTATTCTAATTTGCTTAATCAAGGTTATCGTTTTGGTCACTCGTTTCGGAGATTTTTCTTGTTACGTGTATATAATTAATAACAAACTTTCTCGTACTCCATTTTCTTATTTACAGATCATTTCATTGGGCGTGGTAGTTTGTTTGTGTTTATCTGTAACCCGGAAAATAAAACGCGATACTCGTGATTCATTCGTAAGGTTATCACACGCAAAATCCCGAGATTAATCATCCTATTTGTTACAAGGTTACTATTCCTAATAGCCAAATCATTAAGACAATCGAAATGACTTATCTCAGGATTTTTATTTTTGTAATTATTAAAATTACATAACCTGCTTAGATAAAATTAATATTAATTTTTATTGGAATTATTTTGGAAATGTAAGTTCTCAAAACAGTATTGATATATAGCTTTAATAATTGCTATTCTACATGCGTTGACAGAGAAACTGAAAACGCAAGAAATTTATTAATAAATACATTTATTGGTCGATAACAACTCCATTCCACCTGCCAAATACGCCGCAATTAAAACAAACACTCAAAATGCCTGACTAAACAGACAACAGCATGAGCTCCGATGTACATATAATACCTAGAATCACGAGCACTACGCAGAATAACCGAAAACAAAGCAAAAAGTTCAAGAGGAATTCCTTTTACCTTGTAAACCCGTGTGTCCAGGTGATAGCCTCAGTCGGTAAACAAGGAACCGCGTCCTCGCAGCAGGAGGGACAGATCGAGAGTGCGCAGGAGCTGGCCGCGGAGTGGGGACGACCCCCGATCGATTGGCTGTGTGGCGGCAAGGAGAGGAGCGCGGGACGGCTGGATTGCGCACGCGCGCGGTATTTCCCGGGAATCGGGTCTTTCCGGGTCTCCGACACGGTTTTCCTTCGTTCGGCTCACTCGAGCGTCCGACGCGCGACACGGCAACAGGTGACCACCGGAAGCCGAGCGAAGGTCCTCGAAAGCAACGAGAGAACACAGGCCGAGTGTCGCGGGACCAGATCCACGCGTTTGCAACGCGCGTCGAGCATCGACGGAAGATTGATCTTCGCGAGAGCGTTCGTGGAACGACGTTCGGCCGAACCGGGGAGTCGAAGATCGCGAGAGAAACGGACCGATCGGCGAGGGAAAATGAGCGTCGAGGACGCCATCAACTATAAGCCCAGCGAAGAGGAGGATTACTACGCACTCCTGTCCTGTGACGAGTCCTCGTCGGTAAGCTTAGCGGATTTTGATACTGAAGGGTTTCCTTGGGGATCTCACGTGAGTTTTTCTTGGTTGTTTACTTTCGTTTGTTATTTGTTATGGGGTTGTTTGTGCTGGTTGTTTAAGTAGCATTTGTGTCATGGTTCTGTTTGCTGTTTCGGTTTTGATTGGACCGTGTGGTTGGTCATGAATTTAGGGCTAGTGTCTAATGGCGATACTACTTACTTTCTTAAAACTAAATTTCCCAATGACGTTTCAATGATTATTCTTTCACTTTTAAAGTTAGGGAAAATTCCGCATTCCAATTTTTCAATATTTCCTATTATTCTTCTGCTCTTACTTCATTTATTGGCCAATTTGACCAATGGTAGGATTTATATGGTAGGTTTTATACAAACCATCTCTATTCTCAAGTGTTCCATACACATTTTGCTAATACTCAATTCGTCTTTTTAACGTTTCTATATATATACGTGTTTTAAATTAAAAATTTGTTATTCCAAGGGAAATTCGATTTGAAATCTCAGAAATATCTCAGTTATCGTTATCAACGAGTTCACCCTCTTATGTGTTTTTCATTTTTCCAATTTCAAATTTCAAATTTGTCCTTTAAATTACACTTCACATATTTTAATGTACGAAAATCAGTATAAATCCAAAAATTCTTTTCCCATTTCATCGTGAACGAAATCAAACAAAATTTAATATTTCTTCCATCTATAATTTTCCGTAGTTAAATCATAATTAAATCGCAAGGAATTAAAAGATCTCTTCTGCACCCTAAAAATTTCCAATGAGATATTTTGAGTTAAGTCTTCTTTAAAATCCTGCAATATTTACGTTCTCACTCGCGTCGTTTACTGTGTTCGTGAAAATATGAGGAAAATGCAAAAATGATTCGTAAAATCGGCGAATTATTTCACGATGATGAAACAACTTCGAATGTTAGATTCATCCCTGCGTTGTTTCAAGCTTCAGATTCCGAGGCGTATAATGGAATACGTATTCAGTATACTTTCGGAAGTTATGTGGAATTAATTAGGCTCGCTGTCGGGACCGTGTCGCAGAGGGATAATTGCATCAGCGTCGGGAACAACTTTAATTAGACTCTTTGGCCGAACTTCTCGATTACTATCGATCGTCTGCCGATTGCTGGTTCGCATGACAAAAATACGTCGTTGGATGATTCGATGAGGGTTGAATCCCTTCGTGATTGATAGCCCTGTCTCCGCGAAATTTGCGACGGTCCTCGGGGTGGAAATAAAAATGTCTTCCCTACTTCTGATCATTCTCTGGATCCTCTGGACTTTCTAGATTTTAATATTTTCGAATTTATGGAACTTTTTACGATATTTAGGGATTTCTGGAATCATATCCATGGGGTTTTGTTGTATCTTATAGAACCTAATTTTAGACTAAACATAAGCTGCAGATCTAGGAAGCTTCTGTATATTAAATTTACAATTTTTAAATCTTCCTCACTCAGAAATTTTGATAAATCAAAACCTCTGTAACTCGAAGGTTTAGATTCAATTTTTTGTTTACGATTCGAGTTATCGAGGTTCGACTGTATTATACTTCCTGCAGATACGATAAAATAATATAATAGACATAACCTTGATCGACTTCAGAAAAGAACAGGAAATACTAATAACTATACAAAAATCGTTATATTAGAAAATATTAGAATATAATTAATTTTTATGTGAAATTTTTCAATTTTTCTTACTCAGAAATTTTGATAAATCAAAACCTCTGTGACTCGAAGGTTTAGCCTTCTGTTTACGATTCAAATTTTCGAGGTTCGACTGTGTTATACATCCTGCAGATATGATAAGAAAGTATAATAGACATAATCTTGACCGATTTCCGAAAAGAATAGGAAACACTAATAACTATAGAAAAATCGTTGTATTAGAGTATATTAGAGTATAATTACTAGAAAGATTAACATTTATAATAGGGAACACTAAACACTACTAAACACTCACAATCAGACGCATTCCTAGGCTTTCACTCTTTGCTTGCATTCGGCTCTGTCATAAACATCCCTTACATTCGATCCTCTTGCACGCGGTCACTTTCGTACTAACAATAAGCCCAAAACACTTTCCTAGGCTTTCACTCTTTGCTTGCATTCGGCTCTGTCATAAACATCCCTTACATTCGATCCTCCTGCACGCGGTCACTTTCGTACTAACAATAAGCCTAAAACACTTGACATTCTTTCAGGGCCGTACTTATTCCTTTCCTACACATCGGTATCCATTTTCTCTGTAAAAATCAGCAATTATTGCAGTTTTCTGCAATAAACAACTCACTAGGGGTACTCTAACCCCTTTTATACTTTTACCCCTTGGACGTCGCGTAATTTATAAAAAAAATTCGCATAATTTCGAAAAAGGAAAAGCCAGGAAAGAAATGGAAGTTTCCTTTTTAAAAATCGAAGGAGCACGATTAGCAAGTCACCCCATGATCTTTTCGCGTGGCGAGAACGTCGACCGATCATGGAAGCCTCTGGTAGCATAATTTCCATGCTGGTTGCCGGGTAAACAAGCGGTTTTCACGCAACTAAGGCGCAAAGAGTCGATCATCCCCGTTCTTTGTCTCTCAGCGTCGTTTAAAAGTCATCGTTCAACCTCCCCGTGGAATTATGTCAGCGTTTCGCGTTGTTTTTCCCCGGTTACTCGCGATTCGCTAAAAATAAACGGCGATGCCTTAAATAAAGCCGAAGGGTTAATGAGTGATCGTGTTCGCCTGTTTGCCGACAGGCCGGCGATCCATTAAGAAACTCTACTCCCATTAGGCGAATTCGTTAAATTGCCTGGCAAATATCAGTCGTCTCCATTAGCCAGGCAGTCGACGAGCAGGGGCCGAGTGGCCCTCTTTCGATTATCGCGGTGTAAATAGGGGTTGGAATGCTTGGAAATTTCGAGTGTCGTGACTTGCACCAATCCGGGATACTTCCACGCTGAAAATCGATCCTTCCCATGGTGCTTTCTCTCTTCTGATGAATTTACGAGTGTGGGAATTTTTGGAAAGAGGGTTCCATCTTTTTAGGAGTTTCAAAGGTAATTTTTCCAGCGTTTGAAAGTATTTATTAATTTTTATTTCGTGTTCTATGTGTCTATGTATGACACGGTACTCGTGTAACGTGTAGATTTTGTGTTTTACAATTGTAGAAATTTTGGAAATAAGTTTCTCTCTTTTGTGGGTTCCAATAAAATCTTTTTCGAAGTTTTGAAGGTGTTTCTTTCATTTTTACTTCACTTTATATGTATTCGGATATATACAGAAGGCTTCTTTATAATACTGTGTTCCTCCAATTCGTAAATTTCATATTTTTGTTGTTTTAGGATAAGATAAAACGTATATGGGTCCTTGTTATCTTTAAAAAAGAAATTATTAATTTATCTTTAACTTTTTGTACTCTTGATTTCGCGTAACACAACATTTTTCACATTACAGGGAATCCCATGGTATATCTATAATATTCATATCTTCGTGCCAGTAATAATAAAATTGGACTGACCGTATATAAAAATGATAAAAAAATGATTTCATAGATAAAATAAAATCATCCCTAGTATAATACCAAAAACTTGAGTTTCTAGTTTCTGTTTTAACATTTTTAATTTACAGTATTCATATATCAGAACCAATATTATATTGAACAAAACATTTGCGACTTAGGATACTTTTAGGATTACCTTTTACCTAATTTAATTAATAATTTAATTAATTTAAATTAACTTTGTGAATAATTTAATTAATAACGATATATAACAACTAATCCCAAATTATTGTTCGAGTTGAGAACTAATTGCAATAGGTCAAATAGAACATGCAACGAGTCGAATAGAAACAGCAAAAAAAGAAGTATTAAAAATTCCGAAAAATGTTTTAAAAAGGAGGAAAAAGAAAAAATAGGAAACCTACCCGAGCTGGAAAACCGCAGACCAAGTTAATAATCCACGTTCAGAACAGTGAAGATTAAACAGAGTGTAATGAACCATCCCTCTCAGGGGTTCTTTCAAACCCGTTTCATATAACCCTTATATTCTGGCTAAACATCGATTAACCGGCATAACTTGCAGCCTCTTCGAGTTTCCTTTTCATCTAACAGCTTCTCAAGAATCTGCGTTGCAGGTGGAACAGATCACGGCCGAGTACAAGTTGCTGGCTCTTCAATACCACCCGGACAAGAACGAAGGCGACAAGGAGGCCGAGCGGAAGTTTCAGCAACTGAAGGTTCGTTTCCTCGTTCCTTTTTCCTGGTTTCTTCGTTGAACGCGTGACTCATGGGAAAATTGTCGCATAATTGCACTATCTGCGTCAATTTATATTTTCTTGATCATTTATAAAGTGGTACCGATGGTCGACGTCACGTAAGACCTTAATCCTCGCAGAGCCATCGAGATAAAAATTAGGGGGCAGTTATTCGGGGGTCTTCTTAGACCACAGTCATTCGCTCACATTTTCTTCAACGGAATTCATTCGACACGGTCAGAAATTTGCATAAATGACGATTTTCTTTGCGAATTGAAGCAACGAGTAGCGATGCTGATATTCGCTGTTGTGAGACATAAAACCTACTGATGTTTCTGTGTGTGTATCAAGAGGATTATGGCTCTGGGTGGAATATGGCTCTGTTTAGGTTCAAGAAGATCCGCTGGTGATTCTGTGTGATGTCTAGGTTTAAAAAGACCCACCTATGACTTTGCGTTGTGTCTAGGTTCAAGAAGATGGCTGTGTGTGTGTATGAGTCTAGGTCAAACAAGATCCACTGACGATTCTCTGTGAGTCTGGTGCCAAAAGAACCCAACTATGGCTGAGTGTGCTCTGTGTGTCGAAAACAAACCGCTGATCATTCTGTATATGTGTGAGTCTAGGTCTAACAAGATCCACTGACGATTCTCTGTGAGTCTGGTGCCAAAAGAACCTAACTATGGCTAAGTGTGCTCTGTGTGTCAAAAAAAATCCGCTGATGATTCTGTATGTGTGTGAGTCTAGGTCTAAACAGATTCACTAATAGCTCTGTGTGATGTTTAGATTTAAAAAGACTCTCCTATGACTCTGCATGTTGTCTAGATTCAAAAAGATCCGCTAATAGTTGTGTATATGTATGAGTCTAGGTCTAGCAAGATCCATTGATGCCTCTGTGAGTGTTTGACTCTAAGCAGATTCACCTAAATCTCTGTATGATATCTAGATCCAAAAATTCTGTGTGTTTGAGTTCAAAAAGATCCACCTATGACTCCATATGTCATCTCAGTCCAAAGAGACCAACATATGACACTGTGTGTGTATGTGCCTAGGTCTAAAAAAATCCACCGATTGCTTTATGTACATTTGAGTCTAAAACGATCCATAGGTAGCTCTGCTACATCTAAAAAGCCTCATCGAAGGCTCCCACTGTCAGCCTGGATACGAAAAGACCCGAATGTTGATCTTCAATCGCGTCACGTCCATTTCACCGATTGCATTTCCACATTCATGCAACTGTAACGAATGTAATACGGTTCCTTTATATCGCAGCACGCGAAAGAGGTACTCTGCGACCCTGAGAGAAGAAGCAACTACGACAAGTGGAGGCGTAGCGGGATCGCTGTGAGCTACAAGCAATGGGTCGGAATGAAGGACCACGTGCACCAGGTGAGGCAATCGGATGACAGTTCTAAACGAAAGACTTTTCCCTCGACGGTGGGCAATGCGTGGAAAATCGTGCGAGAAATTTCCCGTTCAATCGAAATTCTTCGCGTCGAAATCGAGTATTCTTGGAGAATAACACCGGGAATCGTTATTCGAGTCCGAGTCGAAATTCGTAAACGAGGAAACGGACCGTTTGCTTTCCTTTGCGAAGCTCGGAAAATTTACGGTGAGGAATTTGCATCGAGATCTGGTCGGTGATGACGTGGCAATCATATATTTGCTTTAGGCAATTTACTCGCGTGTTTTTGAGCTCGGGAATCTTCCACGATATACGATTCTATTTGGTCGATTTTACATTCAACCGATTTTTCTTTTCTATTATGCACGAATTATAAGATTCCCGTGACACGAAATTCTCGCACTATTCTTCTCGCAGTAACACGGAAACCCTTTTCCATTTTCCATTTTCCCTATTCTTCAAGCTCCACTAACTTCAGGATGCACACTGGGTCACTCGCGATAGAAATCAGCTACCATAATCACGGTGCATGCTTCCAATATCTTTAACGTAGGATCAGCACACACGATTGCTCATCGCTCTTCATTAATCGCGAAATATGCATTCCGAGTACACCCCGAGGAAGCTCAGCTGACAGATTTCGAAATTTGCACATGCACTCCAATTTTATAATTACGAAGATACTATACTGGTCGCATTTAAGCTCCCTATATTTCACAATTACATCGTCAGTGACCTAATCTTATAATCTGTGATCACCATATGATCACTGATATAACCACTGAACACAGACCCAACCTCCTCATTAACCATCTCTCAAAGCAAGCGACCCAGTGTGCACCCAATCCCTGAGAAGAACACCCCATCCCTGAAAAATCCGAAAGAAATGAAAGAGAAGCCCTAAAAGGAAATAAGAACGAAAGAAAGCACAAAGAGAATTGAAATACACCGCAGTCGATGCACTGGAGCATACCCAAGACGAAGGATCGGATGCTGCCTGACGCCTCGGGCGAGGCCACAGGTTCTCCAGGTCACACCGGTAAGGTGCAAGCGGCGAACGCGCACAGAAGAGCTTCAGAAGGCGGCGCTAACATCTACTACGCGACCCGTCGCGACCTGGACTGGGACTCGGAGGCACCGAACGAGGTGGTCAGCAAGTTCCGCACCTATGAGATCTAAAATGGCCGCGTCCCGCACGATCGGACCGTCGCCTGGACCGGATCGCTCGCTGTGTGTCCTTTTTCGAATTATGTCGAACAGAGTAAACGGATGAAACACCATAAAGGAACGCATCGAACCACGACAAACCGGCTCATCGCGAATTTATCGCTCGTCATTGTCCAACCGAGGGAACATGGACCAATATCCTGAGTTTGGATGCAGTTTTGGACGGAGGTCTCTTTATCTCCTTGGTCTCTCAGGAGTTCCGCAGAGTTTCATCCTGAACGCTCTTTTCTCTGACTGTACTATCATTTTAAAGATCCCGTCGAATTTGACCTGATAGATGATTGCACGTGTGTAAATACCAAGTGTTTAAAGAGAGGTAGCCGATACCAGGTCTGTGAAAGTCGAGGAAAAGTCAGTAAACTAATGTTCCTCGTGAGCAACCAGTTAGAGAGGTAGCTTGGAATGAAGTTCCAAACGAAAGCTAGTCATGGAAGTGAATATAAGAATTATTTTAAAGCAGAGAGAACAAGTCAGATGCAATGTTCTGCAGTCCTCGCGAACGATGAAGATAATCCATAGCCACGGAGCTAATCTTCTCTAAGATCCCATCAGGCACTTGGTAGGAATAACTCGGAACCTTGGATTGCAGATGATTTCCGTCGACTTCTCGTTACTTTTCATTAGTCTTCCGATGCTAATAAGCGATCTTGCCTTTGGATCTCGACTGGATGCTCGAAGGAACGAATTAAAGCGTCAGAGACAGGGTGTGCCCACCGATTTACTCGTCGCTGCAGATTCTGGGATCCTTTTATCGGAGGAGGAGAGTACAGGACTGGTTTAAAATTCGAGACTAGAGTCGAGGACACTTTCTGACCTTCCTCGAGACCCAGAGGTCGAGACTCGCCCTCTTACTTCCAATTTTTCGCTGATGAATAACGTGCAGCGGAGCGATAAGTTCGAGGATTTCTAAGAAGGATTTCCAAGAGAGAAAAGGGGGAATTGAAGAGAGAAAAATCGGAGGATCGGTTGGACGGTGCTTTTTGATGTCGGGAGGGAAGCTAACTCCAAGATTCCACGAAGGGATTCGAACGTAAGAGGATAACTAGTTGTTTCTACTATAACGTTACTCACGATTGAATTCACTTCGGTGGTACAGCTTCGTATATGTATTTGAATCCCAAAATGATCGCGATATAAGAATTCCATTTTCCAATTTTATTTATTAACGTAGTAGAAATTTTTCCTTAAACTATTAACAGAATTAATCGATGAAAGATTATTCCGAAGATTGTTCCGTTTTATTCCAAATGTCAAAATTATTTTGCGTGTATTTCTGAATCTTCGAAATACTTATTCCAATTTTTTAAATAAGTCCAGAGGTATTTTTAGTTATTTTTGAACGCAATATTCCCTATAATTGTTATAATTTCTGCAGAATTAATCGATCAAAGATTATTCCATTTTATTTCAAAAGTCAAAATTATTTGAATCTTTGAATCCTCCAGGTACTTATCCGTCATTTTTAAGGAAAATCTAGAGGTATTTTTAGTTATTTTTGAACGCAATATTCCCTATAATTGTTATAATTTCTGCAGAATTAATCGATCAAAGATTATTCCATTTTATTTCAAAAGTCAAAATTATTTGAATCATTGAATCCTCCAGGTACTTATCCGTAATTTTTTAGGAAAGTCTAGAGGTATTCTTAGTTATTTTTTAACGCAATATTCCCTATAATTGTTATAATTTCTCCGGAATTAATCGATCAAAGATTATTCCATTTTATTTCAAAAGTGAAAATTATTTGAATCTTTGAATCCTCCAGGTACTTATCCATAATTTTTTATAAAAATCCAGAGATATTTTCACTTATATGAACGCAAAATTCCCTATAATTTCCCCAGAAGAATCTCGGAATTCTGTAAGATTACCGATCTGTACCACTGGAGTAGCCTCTCGATCGTCGAGTAGCTAGAGGAAAAAAAGTAACTCGTTGTTTCTACATTGAGTATTGTTCAGTGGAGTGCTGGAACAGTTCACGCGTCGACCAGCAAGAGTTTTCTATCTCGAACGACACCTTCGGAATCGAAATTCCATGCGACACCGCGTTAACCTCGATCAATAGGTTCGCCGTGTGAACTGCTCGAGTATGGTTGTTCCACTGTCGAGCAAATCGATGACAGCGCACTTGTACCTGTGTCAAACGCAAAGTATATATCGTTTTTTCTCGACCACAGTTCTTCGACCACAATTGAATGTTCGAAATCACCCATAGATCTCGAGTCACCCTTTCTGTACCTCGGTCAACCCTTTCGCTGAAGAGAATCAAGCCCCAACGATCGATCATTAAAACCAGCCATTCCGTTTACACGGACTTGGATTTTTAATTCTCCTGTACATATACAAATTTCGAAATATCAACGTGGAAAGAAGGAAAAGAAATTCTTCGTACACGATCAATTTACACCAAGGTAGACTGAGAACGGGATCAAAGTATCGAGACAGGAAGGATCAATTTTTGCGATGAACAATCCGAGGTATTGGACAGGGAAGCTGGACGCAGCTGAACCCTCGAGCTTCGATTAGTCGATGAACTCGAGGATTTACGAGGGATCGATACGATCTACGAGATGTTCAGATTGCGTCCATTCGATTCAGATCGATTCAGCGAAAGGATCGACGAAGATTCACCGAATTTTTGGTTTCGCTCATCGTCGATGGAGTCCCGTTTCACGACAGCGAGTTACACCATTCGTTCGTCCTTTCTTCCGAAACGGCGATCGGTTTCATCGTCTCTTCGATTCATCGGTTACGTTCATTTCCTCGTTACCATCGTCGCGAACCGTGAGATAACGATAGATAGCCCGACGAGGAAAATTTTTCTAATGCACCGAACGTCGTTTGCGTTCCGCGTAATTAAGGCACGTAGCCGTAGCAGCTATAACGATTGGCGGCCGAAAATAGCAGCAGTCGTATGTATCGATGTGACCTTTCGATATTAGATTTAAGGCTCCGAGGTACGGCTTAAAACGATCGTGGCTCCTCGAATTTATTTTCTACCCTCGCCCAACGCCGATACAGCCTTTCGATCGGTCGTCCCGTCTCTGTCGATGTCGAGATTCTTATCGCGGGGGAGACTGGGAACCGAGACGTCCACGAATTTCAGAACCTCGCGAAATTTCCACGATCGCGGATCGGAGATCGGATGGTACCGTTTCGAATCGCTGGAAGAGGGATCCAAGACGACGGCAAACGAAGAACCAAGATGGCGACGGGAACGTCGCGAGATTTTCAGAATTCGAGATGAAAGATGGCAAGATGCTGTTTCGATTCGTAAGAAGAAGGTTGTGATCGAGGACCACGGTAAACGGAGAATCAAGATGGCGACGGGAACGTTGGAAGATTTTCAGAATTGCAGATTGCAGACCGGAAGGTACCAATGGAAGATGAAGGAAGATGAGGAATGTTGCAAGATCTTGGAATTAGAGATGAGGGACTGGAAGGTACCCATCGAAGATGGCGACGAACGGAGAACCAAGATGGCGATGGGAACGTTGCAAGATCTCAGAGAATTGGAGATCGGAATCCGAAAAGTACCAATCGAAGATGGAGGAAGATGGAGGAAGATGAGGAATGTTGCAAGATCTTGGAATCAGAGATGAGGGACTGGAAGGTACCCATCGAAGATGGCGACGAACGGAGAACCAAGATGGCGATGGGAACGTTGCAAGATCTCGGAGAATTGGAGATCGGAATCCGAAAAGTACCAATCGAAGATGGAGGAAGATGAGGAACCAAGATGTCGATGAGAATGTTACAAGGTATCATAACTGGAGATGAGAGACTGGAAGGTACCGATTGAAAATGGCGATGAAAACAGCGCGAGATCTCAGAGAATTGGAGATCGGGGATGGAAAGGTACCAATCTAAGTTGGAGAACAAAGAGGAACCAAAATATCAGTAGAAACCTCGCGAAATTTCCACGATTGGAGGTCGAAGATCGGAAGGTACCGTTTCGATCAGTGAAGAGAAGATTCCGATCGAAGACGGCGATAAACGTAGAACCAAAATGGCGACGGGAACGTCACGAGATCTCAGATTTAAAGATCGGAAACCGAAAGTTACCAATTATATATATGGAGAACGAAAGATCAAAACGTCGACGGGAATTAAATCTGAAAGATATTGAAAGATACCGATCGAAGGCGGCGACAAACGAGGAACCAAGATGGCGACGGGAACGTCGCGAGATTTTCAGAATTCTAGATGAAAGATCGGAAGCTACCCTTTCGATTCGCGAGAAGGAGATCCCGATTGATGACAGTGAGAGACGAGGAACCAAGATGGCGACGTGACCGCCGCGAGGTCTTCGTAATTATAGATCGGAGATCGGTAGTTACCGATTAAACTTGGCGAAAAACGAGGAATCAAGACGTCAACAGGAACGTCGCGGATGAAAGATCGGAAGGTACCGTTTCGATTTTCATGGGAAAATTAGGTACCGATCGAAGGCGACGAGGTACCGTTTTCAAGTACACTTGAGTCGATCGGCGCCACGCGCTATCGATTCCTTCGCTAATTACGAGGAAACCAGCGAAGATAAGAAATAAATACGCGTAATACGAGCTGTCTGATAAATCGGTAAGAAAAATCGATAGCGCGTGCACCTGTCGAGGCATAAAGATCGGCATCGATCTCGTTCTCGAGCTCCCTCGGTGCGCACGCGTAGGCCACGCGAACTATCCTGTTAGGATAACAAAATGGCGGCGAGTATTAGGAAATGGAAGGCGAGAGAGGAGGATAAATAAATCGTCGGAGATCGAGAACGAGCGTTCGATCCTCGAGATCGCATCACACTACCCGTGCATCTGTCTTCAGCGAATGAGAGAAAGAGATATATGGTGGAACGAAGAAGCAACTTTCGAAACATCCTGTACGTGTGTTGTTCCCACATCTATATTTTTCTAGACGCGTCTCCGCGATTCTCGCCTCGCGGAGCACTGCACCTTCTATCTATTTATCATTTCCGCGCGATCGACCTATCGATGAGGTCGCGCATTCGGTCGAGGTCAAGGAGGAACCCGTCGTTCGAGCAAGGGAAAAGCGAAAAACCAGATTCACACGGAATTTTTCTCGCTACCTTGCTGCAGTTTCTCGGGGAATATTCGATGAAAGGAGTCGCCTGATTTTCCTTCGCTTTAAGCTTCTTTTTTTCCTTATTTTTAAAGCATAGATTTAGCCAAGTACTTTCTCCGTCGAGTGTTTGAATTATTTTCTTTATGGAGACTTTCAGGGTGAGAATTTTCTTACGATATTTTTTGGAATTTGGAAACATTTCTCTGTAAAGAAGTGGAAGCTTTGGAATTTTTTTTTAGTGCTTTAAGCTCCCTTTTTCTCTTGTTTTTAAAGCATAAACTCAGTTAAGTGTTCTCTTCTTCGACGTTTTAAATTATTTTCTATATTCGAGACTTTCAGGGTGAGGATGTTTTTAAATTACTTTTTGGAATTTGGAAAAATTTTTTTTGAAGAAAGGGGAAGTTTGGGGAGCTTTTCGATTGCTTTAAGCTTCCTTTTTCTCTCATTTTTAAAGCATAGACTCAGTTAAGTGTTCTCTTCATCACTTTTTTGGATTATTTTCTTTTTTCGTAGCTTTTAGTGTAAGAATGTTTTCAAATTACTTTTTGGAATTTAGAAAAATTTTGTTGAAGGAAGGGGAAGCTTTGGAATTTTTGTTTAATTACTTCAAGTTTCCATTTTCTATTGTTTTTGAAGTATAGACCCAACTAAGTGTTTTCTGCTTCGATTCCTTGAATTATTTTCTTTTCTTGAGGCTTCTAGAGTGAGGATATCTTTAAGGTGCTTTTTCGAATTTGGAAAATTTCGTTTGGATGCCTGACGAGAGTTCCTTTCTGAAATGAAGATATATTGTTACGACGACGGTTCCTTCTATCCTCGTAAACGCGTGAATCTCTGTTATGTGCGAATAAATATGCAAATATATATATACACGTACATATGTAATGTATGAGATATATACATATATATATTATACTCGTCACGCGCTGGACGACGCGACGATATG